TCATAACAGTTTCTGAAGACAACAATGGAGCAAAACAACAACTTTAGAATAGTACAAGATCCTTTGAATACGCTCTATATGTTTTCGGAGGTTGAACAGTAACAATACAAGTGAGAGCCTACTTTTTCTTACGCTATTAAATAAAATGTGACACTTCAGAGAACAGATTAAATATCCCATGAGATTTCAGCAGGGAAAATGAGTTAATTTTTCATATTTCAGAGAAAGGAAAGGCTGAAATTTCGGACAATCTTTTACTACTAACCAATCTATCACATCAATGGTTGTAATTGCAAGTCGACTGCTCCCAAAGCAGCAGGGAATGACACGATCCTCCTTGTAGGACAGCTGCTGCCACAGCAAAGCCACTGTTGCATTTCATTAGAGAAGCATTGCAGCAGCGCGGGGCACTGTAAAAAGGCTGCAGATCTTGTAGATACAGCTGTGCCAGCTGGAAAAGGAAGCACCCTTAGGTGATTACCTTTACCCACGTGTGCCATGCCTACAACTCTGCTGGCAGAACAGATTGCTCAAACGCCCAGAGCAAAGGTGGATTAGTTTGCTCAATCCTACCTTTAAATTCAGGGGTGGGTAAATAGCAAAGCGACTGCTTGTAGCAATCACCTCTCTCTCACACAGTCATTTCTATTACCAAAGATGCAGAGATGATAATCTCTGGCACAGCAACAGTGACAAGCTAGTGGCAGCACCTTCTTCCACTGCCACAGCTGTCCATTACCTGTGTGAGCCTGCAAGCATGTAGATTTAGGGAGCAGCCATACCAAATGGAAATACTACTGCCCCCTGGAAATAATGCTGCTTATCATCTTATCAGCAAACTCTGCCTCCCTCATGTATATATATGTATATATATATATATATATATATATATACACACACACACACACAATATAAGAAATTCCAATACTGCACTTTCAAGGAATTTCAGAAAAGTAGTCACTTCTCCATGGCTAGCTAGTTTACGTCAACCTGCTAACTTCAGGTTTAAAATCATCACTGCAAGAAATAAAGATCCTTTTCAGGTTCTTAATACATCAAAGCATGAAAAAAAATCTCCAAATAAAAGCCCTCAAACCCATCATAAGAATTATGAATCATTAAAATGATATCCATAATAGTACTAGCAGGTTGTCAGTGTGGTATTTTAAAATTCAGCAAGGCCTTTTGTCTTAAAAATTAGGCAAAGAATCTGTCTCCTAAACTACAGATGACCAGAAGCAAATGGTAGCCTACAGAAATCTCCATGAGGTGTGGAAACTAAACAGTCACAGTGCATTACAGGCTGAATTATTTCACTATCTGTATGTCCTTCCAATGAATTGTTTTAATTGGCATTGGTTAACAATGGGCTTAATTTGCAATTTTACATGACGCAGGAATATGTCCTGTTTGAGCATTAAAAAAAAGGTGAAATTAGACATACTTTGAGCTCATAGCGATCCACAATAACTATGTAGTCTGTCTCCGTAGGGACTTGTACAGTGTTCTCATCACTTATCTGTTGCTGGTCTTCTTCCCAAGAACGTTCAGGAGTCACCGCTTGAAATGCCCAGGAATCTGGAAGGACACAGATTTCTTCAGTCAGGTTTTCTGTTTATCTAGAATACAGTCTCAGTGAAGTATCCTGTACCTGCCAAACAGTCTCTTTCTACAAATACAGAGACAGAATTGTTATCGTCTTCACTGAGAAATACTTGGCTTCTCCCTTCTTTCCAGCTAAAGTCACTGCTCCATAAAAATTAGAAACTAAGACAAAAAAAGCAAACAAAAATACCCACAAAAAAACCAAAAGCACTAATGAAAAGCTTAATAGTGGAAAAAAATAGTCATGTTGCCAATTCAGGGCTCAGAGTCTCAGAGAGCGTGGTGAAAGGTGACCCCCAGCTGGCTGCTGGAGGAAGCTGAGGCAGCGTTTATGCTGAATGTTTAGCCTACCGGTGCTTCGGTGCTGTTGAGCTGCACTCAGAGTGTGAGCTCTGGGTGTTATTTCTCAAATACTGCGTTATTGGAGCGTACGGACCCAAGATATTCTGTGGATAGGTGATTTAAGCCATGTCAGAACCACCACTGTGGCGTGTGCCAGCGTCGGACGCCCGTTCGACTGATCGGGCGGAGCAGGTGAATTGAATTTGGTGCTGAGTGGCGAGGTGGTGTTGGGGGAAGAGCTAGGCTAAGGAGAGCTTCCTCTTGCTCTGCCCCTTCCCATCTCAAATGGCCGCTTCCTGGGGAGATGGGTTCGCTGGGACCCATCTACAACGTTACAGTGAGGATGAGGAATGCTCTTTAGTCCCGTAGGTATTTGCTGCCAGGCCGCAGCGTTGATTTCAGAAATTGTATTTAAAAAAGGAAAAAGAAAGGAAATCTGTATTCTTTAACATACTCTCTTTTCTCGGAGAGTAGATGTAGGAGCTTCAGCAGTGCCCTTCCTCCCGAAATGATTCCCAGTGTCTGCTCAGACACTGAGGAGGAAAATAGAGGAGAGCCACCCGATATAAATAAAGGCAAGAAGGGGTCATGGATTAAGGGAAAACCACTACTTCAAAAATTGGTGCTCTCTACAAACCGGTTAAGGGTTTGGGACCTGCAGGTGCTGCCTACACCTG